TGTATCCGGCGTGCCAGGGGAGGGAACGGAGCCGGGGAGGTGGGCGTGGCTAGCGCGGGCACGTGCGGCGCCGCACGTGGCCGCGTGGCGCCGTCCCTGCGCTGCCATCGCGCCCGAGTTGAGTTAGGCGGCGCCGGCGATCGCCACCGGCACAGAGCCGCCGAGAGGAGCTGGTGAGTAGATCGAGGGCTGGGATCTGGCCGCGGAGGGTCCGAGAATGGGGCCGAATCCCGGAACCGGCTTGGGGCAGGAGGAGCGTCCCCATCTGGCGCCCTCCTTTAATGGATGAGAATAATTCCATTTTGTGAAATATTGGCGTGAGGGCGTTTGGCGAAAGAGAGCGCACCGGCTCGATCTCTCACCCTGGGGAGGATCTGTTGCTCGGACAGTGGTCGTAGGGAAGAGATCGCGAGGTCCGTCGCCCCCAACTTTAGGAGAAGCCCTGCAGGGGCGAGGAGGGCTTTTGGTTTTTAAGCCTCTCGGTTTCTCCCTTGGCGGCGGCGGGGGGCTGGAGGGTGGCAACGAACCATCCCGCGCGAAGGATTTCGGAGCCGTGTTAAAAAAAAAAGTCGGGAGCGTGCCTCTTTCTCCGGAGTCTCTTGGATTTGCCGGGTGGCGGAGGAGGCAAAAACCCGCCGCAAAACTGGGGTGGGTCTTTTCGGGTGTCGGGCGCGTGGGACGGGGGCTTCTGTCGCGAGCTTATTTGAGATGTCCCGGTCTCTGCTCAGACGTCTTCCGATCCTCTGTTTGACTTTGGCTGTCGTTGCAACGTTGCAAGTAAGTTGCCTGGGTTTCAAGAAAGGTCTCTCTCGTTGCTTGCTTGTCCTTAGAACGGCTCCCTCTGGGATCTGGCTGGTGTTTTTATCTTGCAGTGTAAAAGTTATGCAGGCATTAGAGGCGCTGGCAGGCTGTAGAGTTGTCTCTGTATGTTTCTTGAAACAGGTTGACTCTCTGGGGTCCTTGAAGCCCAAAAGGGCTTGGGCAGAGGTTGAGTGGGCAAGCCGGTAAATCGTTTATATGAACTGCCTACATAACACCCTTGTGGTCCTTTAGTGAGCCCAAAAATATGTGTCAAGACTTGCAGATAGGTAGATAGGTTGTTTTCAAAATGCCGAACTTTTGCCAGAACTTCATCATTTCATAAAATTGTACTTAATAGCTGGGGCAGGATGGAATGGTAGTTGTTTGAAGGGTCTTAATTTATGAAGTAGAAAAAATTACTCTGTGTCTGTTTTCCATATTGTCTAAATAGAGCCTCCATGTCCAGGAATAAGCTACCTCTGAATATGAGGAATAGGAGACTTCTGCTGCTTTTGTGCTCTGTGTTAAGGGCGTCCAGTGAGATGTGGCCAACAAGAGGCCACCATGAGTGCTTGGACGTGGTTGGCCACCGTGGCCAACAAGAGGCCACCATGAGTGCTTCTCTGGGGCTCTTCTTACACTTATTGTTGTTGCTTTCTTTAAGTGTTCCTTTTATAGCAGAAATTTGTGGTGGGTAGACTTCTAGCGGCAGGAATTGTTGCTTAATCCATCTCTATGCACATTGGCTTGGGCGTAAACTCCCTTCAGTTCTTCAGAGTTGCTTCCAAGAATGCAGGGGTGGCACACAGTCTCTGTCCTGAAAACTTTATCTGTGTGACACTTACAAAATCTTCCCCACCCTTCCTGATGCAAGATAAGTGGTAGGGAGAGTTAATTTTGACCCACATCTCCACCGGGAGGTCAACAGCTGTGCTGCCTGCAGGTTCTGGGAGTTGTCATTCAGAAAGTATTTTTTCCAGTGCCATGCTGGTGAAGGGATTCTGGGAATTCTAGTCCAAAAAAGTACCTTTTCCCCCTCATCTCTGAGCAAGATGCTAAGTCATTTACATGGAAGTCCTGCTGAGAAATTACTACAGTATTGCTTTTCCAAAAGGAAGGGTACCAAGTGATGAAGCCTGAACTGCTTGGAAATAGTTTTTTTTCCTGTATGGAGTTCTTGAGGATGACTCTTTTTTTTTCACTGTCTTTTGGCTTAATTGATCAGCCTGACCAATTTCGAAGCAGGTGTAGCGTCTTGGGATTCTGGCCAGCTCTGTTCGGTGCTGGATAATGCTCAATTCAATCCTAAATAAATTTATTCCAAAGTAAATCCCCCTTCTGTTCAGCAGAGTTTACTTCACGGGAAGAATAATTGTAATCCTAATTGTGAACACGTTTTCTCTGTTCTGCAAAGTATTTTGAAAGCAGTCCATGAAAGAGAGAGGGAGAAATCTGGGCCAGAAATTATTTCACAAAACTAGGAAAGAGGATGATGACTAGGATGAAGGGAAATAGGTGGGGTGCCCCGTTTTTGGAGAGAGAGAGAGAGAATCTCTTTGAGTGGGATGATGACTTGATGGGGCTGATGGTTCTGGAAAAGAGAAGCTTTATGCCAGGGGGAAAGCATCAGGATTGCAGCCCAGCCCCATAGAGATTTCTCAGCACTTAAGTGAGCCATGCAGCAGGTGGCGGCGGTGGTGGTGGCAAGCACTGTGAATGGAGAACAGCATGCTTTTTCACAGGTCACGTGAGTGTGCACACTGCGTATACACATCTGGTGCCTCCCCATGTTGTGGGCTATGAATGGATGTGTGCAGAGGCTTCTTTCACACGCAAAGCATCACCAGGTTGTGGGTCCATCTTAGTGAGTAGGTTTTTTAACAGTTGCTTTGTACAGATTTGGGGAGTGTGCTCTGAGAGAGGTGGGAGTGGGGAAGGGCATCGCATCAACAGGGTTGTGTAGAAATTGGGAGGCCTTGGCAATGTGTGGCTTTTCTCTGCACACAGGAAGTTGGAACAGGCTCTGCATTCAGAGGTAGAAGTCCTGGGGTGCAACGTCACCCATGCACTCAGGAGGTTTTGTCGCTTTGCATATCAGGACATGCATGGGTTAGATATATCCTGGAGGGTGGATCGTAGGGGGAGCTGCACCTGTTAGAAGCAAGAGGGGCACGGTAGGATTCTGGTAGAGGTGGTCCGTTCACTTCGTCCGTTTGCCGAGTGTGCCACCTGATAAGAAGGGCAGGTGAGGGTTACCTTTGTGTCCCACCTGTCCTCTCCTGTTCTGAAGGTGGCATCTGGCTTCCTTCCCTTTACAAACCCTTTGCAGCAGCCCTAGGAGCCCATCTCGGCCCTCTTGTGAAGACTGGATGGGCGGGATCCTTTTAAGGAGGTGCCTTCCTTTTTTCTGCTGGCATCATAGACTCTAGGCACACCAGCCATGGTCTCTTGCCCGGGGGGGGGGGGGAAGGTGTCTTTAGTTGCCTGACTCTGAGGGTGGGTGTAGCTTTGCTTTGCAAAGAAAGAGGCCCACATGTGGAGGACTGATGGCCATTTTACTCCGTTTTCCTTCTGCCCTTTTAGATTCTGTGACTTTTGCCCTCGTGCACTGCTTCTGATCTTCCCCTGGTTGCCAGGCATTGCAAACCTTTTTTTTCCCCACTGCGGGACTGCTTTGTCCAATCCGGGACGGGCCGTCCATAATGTTCTTGCTTTCTGGCAGCAGAAGCCAGCAGTATTTAATGGTGTGTTTTTAATAGCTGTCAGGTGTTTTGCCCTTTGCAGATGCGCAGTCGCTGTTCTGGGCTCAGCATCTTCGGAAGAGGCTGCGTCACTCTCTTGGGGATGCCACGATTCTTGACAGGCCTGAGGAATGATGTGTGTGGGTAGACACAGGGACATATATGTGCAAAGCATACCGTGGCCCAGATTTTGGAATGAGGTGAGGGACAGAGCAGAGCTGAATTATTCCCAAGACAAGGATCTTGCAGAAAGGAAGTGCATCTCTTCCTCTGCTAACTCATGATTTGAGGCCAGCTTTCCCACAATCCAGTGTCAGCTAAGTTGAATTGGGTCTCAAGGCTTGATAGAACTGGAAAGCACTGTCCCTCGGAAAACAAGTTAATAGTTAAACATTAGCCTGCATCTTGCCTTCCTTGGAGCTGAGCAGCACGAGTCTAGCCGGGGCAGTGGAATGCTGAAATGTGACACACATTTGCTGAAATTTTCTTTTTGGTAATTCCTGATGCCTTGGGAGTTTTTGCTAAAGCAAGTTTTTTAAAGCTTTCATTATTGTGAAGCTGTTGTTGGTTTGCTTGTTTGTTTTTGTTTTAAGTCTTACGTGTGCTGCCTGGCTTGCATGATTGAAAGAACAAAATCCAAATAAGATCTGGTGACTAAGGTAACAGGAAAAGCTTAATTTTTAAATCCTGCCGGCCGGTGCAGATGGCAGAGGGACAATGAACCACCTGCCTAAGCAAATTTGGCTGGACTTTTAAATCCTGCTGGCCGGTGCAGATGGCAGAGGGACACTGGCCACCAAGGGGAACCAGTTAGAACCACCTGCCTAAGCAAATTTGGCTGGAGGTCCCGGGTGTTAGGAAGGTCTTCTCCCTGGGATGTTGTTTATTGTTTGATATCCCAACTCGAACTCCAAGAAGCTTCAAGTGGGGCAGGCAGCCTCCTTCCTCCCAGCGTTCTATTCACAACAGCCTAGTGAGGTAGCTCAGGCCAAGAGAAAGCAGCTGACCCAAGGTTTGCCAAAGAACTTCATGGCTCAGCGGGGACTAAACCCAGGATGGCCCACGTCCCCTTTGGACACTAATGGTTACACACTGCCACTGTGATCCCTCACAAATCTGTGAAAGTGATAAGTAACCAAGGGGGCTAAGCTCATGTGATTTTTCCCCTCCAGACGTTCCCCACCCAGTGCTCTCCAGATGTTTTGAACCACAGTTCCCATTTGCCTCAGGCATTGTGGAGGTTGTCTTCCAAGATGCATGGAGAGCACTGGTCCAGGAAAAGGTATTCCCCAGGGCAGGGTCTCCACAAATCCTGTCAGTTGCAACATAGGTTGTAGGACTCACCTTTTCCTCTCTTATGTGGCTCAAAGTTATTCCCCTGGGCTGGCAAAACAGGGTCTCCACAAATTCCGTCAGTTGCAACATAGGTTGCAGGACTCACCTTTTCCTCTCTTATGTGGCTGAGGGCAGTAGTTTCCATCCTTTCATTCCTTATGACCACAAATCATTCTGCTAAAAAAATCCTGAGACCTACCATGAGAAGTCCATGATTTCGTGTTCTGAAAAATCTGCATCCTACTTCTGCTGCTTCTGTGTCCTGCAGGGGTTACTTATGCCAGCTTTTGAGATCCACTGGTTTAAGTTACCTTGACCAGAATCCTCTCGCTTTTGCACACTAGTGTAAGTCAGGTTAAAGAGTTGATGCTTCAGTTCCTTATTGCTCACCAGTTGATTCCTTAGCTCGTGGGAATTTCCCACTGAGATTTGCACTGCTTCAGTTGCTCTGGTGTACATAAGTTAAATGTTTTTGGCATTTAGCTTACTGCTTAGACTCCTGCTCCTTGGGGGTAATTAAACAGGTGTGCAGAATCCAGCTGCTCAGTGCACAAGTTGTGTTGACGCTCCTTTCTGTTTCTCCCTTGGTCCAGAATCTCAATGGCCATCATGGAGTCCTCCAACAGTGTCTCTTCCCGGGAGTCTTTGTATTCCGTTGAGAGTGAAGAAGAGGATGAGGAGCAGCGCTGTGGGGAAGGAGAGGTCTTCCTTTCAGATAGCGGGAGTGATGTGGAGAAAGAAGTCGGCCCTCTGAGGCACCGACAAGACACGTGTCCAAAGAGGCGGAACTTTTTATTTTCTCCGAGATCGGGACGGACTAATCCAGGCCTGCTTTTCCGTGGCCACAAGCACCAGCCTCCGAAGCCACTGGGCTTGATACCTTCAGCAAGGCTGCCACCTGTGGACCCTTGTTGCCATTATCCTGAGAAGATGTTCTGCAACCGCCTGATGGATACTGACAGCAACCTTCCCAGACAAACTGCGAGCCAAAAGAGGACAGAGAATGGTTGCCGTAAGCGCCTGAGCACTGTCCTGGGAGGTAGTCAGCCCCATGTATACACGGCACAGCCACCGGTTCATGGCAAAAAGAGGCAGCGGAATGAGGAGACGGAGGGACGGGAAGACTCGCCCACTCCTTGTTGGACTGCGAGGGACCTACTCTTTGCACAAAAGGTTTGTGACTTTTTGAGAAAAATAAAAACAAACCAGGCTTCTGGTCTCTTACGTCTCTCAGGATGTACTTGAAAGTGCATAAGCAATGGCTGCTGATTCATCAGGCCCTTACCTGGTATTCCCTGGTGAAATCTCATCCATTTGTTTGTGCAAGTTAGGCGTTAAGAGCCTTGTATATAAACTTCAAATTCATTAATTGATTACTGCCACAGTCAGGTTCTGCTCACGAATCTTTGACATCATGAATGTGCAAGGCTTTCCCCTACTTAACCTTTCTTCTTCCACATTGTGTTCCTCCAGTGCTGTGAGCTTCAGGGATTTGTCCGCCCACTGATGGAGCTTCTCAACAGGCTGAAGACGGGACGCTTTGACCGAGGTAAGGACTAGAGCCAGGCTTTCTGAGTCGTCACAAGTTGAGTGCTGCTCTTGATTAGAGCAGGAGTTCCCCCCAGCATAAAAGAACTGAATATATTGTCATCAGTTGATTATGGCTCCCCTGGACTTGTTCACCGTGTGGGAAGGCCCGCCTTGTAATGGGAGGGGACTTGGATCCACCCGATGCAAATGGGGATCCGAGATATCTCAAAAAGTTTTGGGTTTCTCTTCTGCTTTTTCACTTTGGATCCATCCTGTCTCTCTCTTTAGTAGTTGAGGTTGAGCTTGGAAAAATGCATCTTTTTTTAATTCACATTTTTGAGGTTTCCCCAACCAACATTGGCTGCTTAGGGATCCTGGAAATTGCAGTCCAAAATAACTTGGTTGTCTAAGTTCAAGTTCAGGCTGGAGTGTTACATCTGATTTGAGCAACCAGCCTCTCCTGCAGAAACTGAGCAAGCTTTTAAATATATTTTTGTCCCCTTTTGTTCTCACACATATTTTTATGTGTGGCTTTGTGGATCCCTCAGAGGGCAAAGGATCTTTACATAAACTTCCCTCGATCCCTGTAGCAGCCCGCATGGGAACTGTGAGGCCTGTTTATGTAATACAGTTTTCTTTTCCACCTGAGAGTTGATGGGGGACATGGCTGGGGGAATAATTATGTAATAGCAGCTCTCCTTGGAAAAGAAAATTAGCCATTTCCTTGGTGAATGTAGACTTCAGCCCTGCCATGTTCTGGGGTTTTTGTCCTCTGTGTGTGGCTATCGGGATGTGTGTACGCAAGCATGTGCGCGTAGGTCTTTTTCTCCTTCCTGGCAAACTAACCTAACTCCAAGGCACCTTTTTAAACAGCCTGGCAGGGTGCCCTCACTACAAAAAAACACAAACACTTTGCCATTTAGCTGCATGATTCATCAAATGGGTGGGAGAGGAAGGGAAAGTGCAGAAATCTGATAGAAAAGGCTGCTTAAGAGGAAAAAGAAAATACAGGGTTTTTTTTTACAGGCAACCCCTCCCCCTTGCCCCACAAAAATAGTTTAAAATTTTGCAACCTATTTGGAATCTTTATGGTTTTATAAAGGAACAAAGAGTGGGTTTTAGAAATGAGTTTGATTACAGAAACATCCATAGTTATGCAGCTAACCAATGGGTGAAGCAGAGTTTGGGGTGAAACCTGGAATCTTCCACCCAGCCTATCCACTTATGGGGTATAGCCCAGAGCTTTGAGAATGTACCTTTTTTGGAGTACAGCTACCAGATGGTGTTCTGAGAGTTGTAAAAAACATATTTTTAGGTTCTGGCCTTATAAAAGCTGTTGATGCTACAGGTGGGAGGCAAACTGTTTACTGGAGCAGGAGGCATTTTTCTGGCCTGATATCACTAGAGCTTCACACACAGAAAAGCCAAAATTTAATGTTTTCATACCTGCATTGTTGCTGTCAGAGATCCCTGAGGAACTAAGGTTATGGATTGTCAGCTGTCATCGGCTAACCTCTCTCTCTCTCTCCTTGCTGTTCCAGCCCTTAGCAGCTTCCAGCAAAGCGTGGCAATGGATCGGATCCAGCGGATAATTGGTGTCCTACAGAAGCCAGAGATGGGGTAAGAACACTGCAAATATTTATTCACAGACAAGTGACAGTGGCATGCACAAGAGAGAATTTCCCAAAGGGAGCCATGAAAGCATGGATATGAAGCTTCAGCCTGGAAGTAAATCTGATCCTTTTGGTGTCCCAACCTGGCCCTTTAGGCTTCCACAGCAGTCATGCTCCCCTTCCCATGATACCCATTTGCTCATATAGTGCAAGTTTTCCTGCTCTGATTCTGCTGGCTTGAACATGCCTCTCCCAAGACTGAATTACTGGTTCTAAATAGGTTTTGGCTTAAACTTGCTAGAATTTTGGGTGTTGTCTGTATTTAGCTCACTAACCAACCAAGCTCTACAAACTTTTGTTAGCACTCAGTCCTTGCACAGAGATTGTACTAGGGCCAAAGGTCAGCCTGCCAGCAGCCATGAACTGTGCTTTTTACACTATTTATGTTCATGGGCCTCCAACTAGTTATGTGCCCACAACTCCCAGTTGTGTTGATTAGCATAGACCATGGGAGAGGATAATGGGAACCACAGTCCAGTGGCCCATGGAGGGTCTGACTTGCCCTACACAGTTCATATCCTCTGCTGGAAAAGAGTGCGAAGTACTTCTCTTTTTCTTTTTAAAAAGAAAGCACAGCCTGTACCTTTGGGCTTGTTGTCTAAAGACACATCACAGAAGGGAAAGGCAGTGTGGGGAGGAAAGGGAAACTCTGGGGCATGTTCTTAAGAGGCAACCAGCCTCTGTTCTTTGGTTAAGTGCCATGCACCTTGGTGGCGATGGTGATGTAAGAAAGGGCACTGTGGCAAGGCAAGGCAAGGCAAGTTGGGAGCAGGGCTTCTCTTGGGAAGGTAGAATCAGTTGCCCCTCTGTGCCTGGGTGGTCTTTTATCCCCTCCTTATGCTTATGCTTATCTCTTTGTCTTAAAGGGAGCGCTATCTGGGCACCCTCCTGCAGGTGGAGAGGATGTTGAAGGTCTGGTTTCCTCACATCACCTTAAAGATGTCCCATACAAACAGTGCTGCAGTGGCAGCAGAAAAAACATGTGAGACTAGAAAGGTGAGAGACTGGATCTTTTTTTTTCCTTCCCTTTTTCTAGTAGGGAGAAGAATGGCCACATTGACTAGAGCATTGTGAGCAGCTGTACATAAAAAGCCTCAGTCATGCTCACCTGTTGCAGCAGAAACAATTTGTGGCATGTTTTATTTGGGATTAGTAGATTTTATTGTCTTTCTAAATTGTGTGACTTTTAATGTTGTGAGCTGCTTAGGGTCCCTTTTTGGTAGAAATACAGCATATAAACTAATAGTAATAATTTCTTCAGATGCCAAAAATAATGTGCTCATCTTTCACCTGCCATGATTCTTGGTTCACCATGTGAAGTGTAGGCACATATTCTTGACTCTTGAGCCCTGCATTCGTCTCCATTTGACACTGTTGTCCTATTCTTTCTCCCAACAGAATTTCCAGGACAGGAGGGCAGTCCCAGACTCTGTGGAAAGCCCCCCCACGGAAGAGTTGCACCAGACACACCTCACAGACCCTGACTTCTCTGACAGCAAAACCTGCACTCCACTGGGGGAACCAGGGCGCTTTCCGGGTGACTGGCCTTCCATGAACATGACCTGGATCCACACTGCACCCATTTCGAATCCTCCTTTGGGGCACATGGACTTCTCACAGGTGAATCCCACATTTGGGCAAGCCTTTCTGGGACCCAGAGCTGGCAGCACATATGGCCTCATTGTCTTCCTACAGAACAATGCAGCTGTTCCAGGCAATGTGAACCCTGTGATGCCTTTGGGTTCCTTCCATACTTCTCCAGTCTGCTTCCATTCCAACATCCCAGCTCCAGGGCCCAGTGAGCACCCTCGATGTCAGAGCCTGCCTGGCCCCACAACTGTGGGTAGCCACCTCCCCAGAGGAACACTTGGCTGCTTGTCAAAGTCTCTACCCAACTTGCCTACATCCATTATGGAGCTCAACGGACAAGTGTCTAATGGAAGGCCCACATGTAACTGCAGTTCTTGAAGTTCAGCTATATGCATCTCCCAACAATGTGTGAATTTTCCCCACCCATTTCCTTTTTCCCACTTTTTATTTTTTTCTAACTTAAACATTTTTTCTGTATCTAAGAAAGATGCCACAGAATCTGGCTGTCTCCCAGGGTGGAAGAGAATGTTTGGTTTCAATAAAAATCACCGTTAATGGCTGTTAAATGAGGTTTTGTAACATGTGTTTTTCTGTCTGTGTTGTCTTATGTGTGGTTGGGATAGAATACATTGTGCTCTAATTATTCTGCCTTGTATAGGTTTAAAACATATTTTAAGGCTGCTTTTCTACAGCACTCTAGATTTGCTTTACTTCATATCTAAAAAATGAAAGCAAAACCAGCGAATATAAAGTTGCATAGAAATCACTGCGCAAAATGGTAAAAATATCTATGCTTCCTGCGTATCAGCTGAGGAACTCTTAGGCTCTCCAGCAGGATATGAAAACCAAATACCCCAAGTTTAGTAGTGGCTAATGTTTGAGAGATATATTGTCCCTGCATCTGGAATCTTCATTTATCCAGTGACAAGGCTATAACTGATCTAATCTTAGTGACTGTGTCAAGTCACAAAAAGTAAAATTTTTACTTGGCACTTGCCCATAATCCGCCCTGTCTAGCCTAAACAAGGGTAGTTCAACATCTAGATGTCCATAGATTTCCTAGTCTTGCTGTAAAATAACCAGTGAGCAGCTGTGGGTACATTGGGAAAGCAGATCCTTTTGTAAATGCAAACTTAAGTGTTTTCCCATGGTCTCTGGACAGAGGGGAGAGAACATGGCTGAAAACCATGGAGGAGTTTATACAGAATTCACTGAATACAATCCCAAGTACTATTTGTCCCGGCCTTGTAAAACAGGAATTTAGGGTGGGGAGATGTTGCCTACAGCTGAGTCAGGCAGGAAAAAAAACACGTTTGATGTGCAATTTAGAGATAATGTGTATAGCTATAACAGAAGGCTCTGCTGAATTGCAAAATGAAGACTTGGGAAAAATATCCCAAGATTAAATTATTAATCAGTTGAAGACTTGCACATGAAAGCAATGCTTGATTTGTGCGGGCCAGTACATATGGTATCAACTGCTGGCTATCTCTGCTCACCGTGCAAGGATAAATTTTGTATATTGTGCATATTCCTTCTGCATGTGTGGCACCCTCTTCTTAAGCACAGAGAGGGAAAGTGCCATCCTATGCTACTCCCAACATTACTCAGCACTGGCTAGGCTGTTTAGAGCTTAAGTCTGGCAATGTGTGGAGGACTCATCTGCTTCTCCAGGGACCAGAGACTACATGTTACATTGTTTTACCACTACATTTTCACCCTCCTCCTCGCAACAAGTGATGGGTTACAGCTCCCTGGGCTCCAACATTTATACAGCTACCAGATCTTATAGAAACAGAGCTAGATAAACTTAGCCTATCACAGTATCGCCCCTGCAGGTTTCCCATAAGCATCTTGTTGGTTGTGGGAACTGAATGGCAGCTTTGGGCCTTGATCCAGGTCTGTCTTAAAAGCAGTAAAATATACCACAGCCTCATGCTTATTCCTTCAAATGTTTATAAGTTATCTTGAGCACCATTTTAAGAAGAAAAATAGAATATAAATTTAATAAATATTAAGTGTCAGTTTACATATTTCAGTACACCTTTGTCTGGCTTGCTATATTTAGGGAAAATTAAGCACCAATGGTACATTTACCTTTTCTACTACCAAATGGAAACATCTCTTTTAAATTCCACTCCGAATTAATACATGTGGGGAACATCATGTTCACACCAACACTGCAGTAGCAGTGTGAGAATTAGATATATATATCACCAGATAAGCAAATTAAAACACTGTTAGAATGTTTACATCCCATGTGAATATTTTTTAAAACTGCCACTGAAGGTATCTTAATGAATTGAACTCAGACCAACTCCCCTTCCCATTACTTCATCTCACTTAGTGCTTTTGGGAGGGCAAAACCAGTTCTTTCTGGTCTTCAACTCATTGCCAGAATACTAAACTGAACAGTGTCCCAAATAACACTTACAATAGCTTCTTCACTTCTGTTCTGTCAGATGTGAAGTCATCTTTCTGGTCCCTGGCTAGCTGTCCAACTAGAGACACTTATGGCCTCTCTCTCCTGACTTCCCCTTTCAGCTTCTACCTTCAGTGATTTCAGCTACTTTTTGCTTTGAGTGATTTCAGCTACTTTTTGTCCTTCAGCTTTTTTCTTTTAGTGATTTCTGCTACTTTTTGTCTTCAGTGATTTCTGCTACTTTTTGGCCTTGAGTGATTTCAGCTTTTTTCCCCTTGCCTAGAGTGATCCCAGCTACTGTACCTTTTGGGCTTCATTTCAGCTTGTTCTTTTCCTTGAACAATGCCAACTTTTGCCTTGATTTCAGCAATTTTTTTATTGAGTGATTTCAGCAGCATCTCTGCTTCTTCCTAAGCTTTCTTCAGGTCTTGATCCAACAGTCACAGCTCTACTGCCCCTGAACAGTTTGGGGTTCTCTTTTTTATACCAGCCAAAGCTGTCTTCTCATTGGTGTATAATTTAGTGCTTTTGGGGCGGGGCAAAACCAGTTCCTTCTGGTCCTCAACCAATTGCCAGAATACTAAGCTGAACAGACAATCAAATATCACAATAGATTCTGTTCTCTGGCAGATGTCAGTGAAGTCTTCTTTCTGGTCAGATTCTGAAAGACTAGCCATGCTTCCCCTAAAGACTTGGGTGCTAAAGCTGGCCATTTCCTGCTGCCATCCTGGCTAGGAGCTTGTCCAACCAGAGCCACTTCTAGAATCTTTCCTGACTTCCCATCTCAGCTTCTGCCTTCAAAGATTTTGGCTCTTTGCTATGAGTGATTGTAGCTCTTGTTTTTTCTATGAGTGATTTTAGCTCTTTTTTTTCCCTCCTAAGTGTGACTTCAGCTACCTTTTGTCACTGAGTGATTTCAGCTTGTTTTCTGCCACTTCTTAGGCTCTCTTCTTTCTTCAGCTCTTAGTCCAGCAGTCCAGGCAGCTCTACTGAGCCAGAACACTTTGGAGTTCTGCCTTTTATAGCCTTTCAGTCCAGCCCCTCCAGCCAATAACCTGCAACTCTTCTATAAATCTGTCATCTCATTGGTATGTACCTGGAAGCCAATGGAAGCGGATGGAACATTCATAAATGACCTATCAAGGTATGGCATTTTTGAAGCCTCCAGTTTAGTATAAACATTGATCTGACTTTTAAACCCCCTAAGATGGCTTTCCACAGCTTGGCACCTTCCCTGATGGGATGGACTATTACAGTTGCTATCATTCCAGATATTGGTTGAAAATGATAGGAAATATGTATAATTCAAGCCTATTTGGGACAGTACCACATTGTGAAGGTGGCACTAAAATTGTAAAATTATTTGGTAATGATGCCAATTGTATAGTTGTTTTTTTTTAAACTGTCATCCACAATATAAGTAGCTTCAGCTACAGATAATTTCCAGCTTTCTGAGGTAAATGCCATAATTTTAAGAAAGTTATATTACAGAAGAGGTTTATTTTGGCACAAGATTTTACATCTCATTTACCTCAGGACATTTAGATTTTCCACAGCTCTATACAGAATGGAACTCTATAGTTTGATAGCTCCCTCATTGGAAATAAAGGCAGTGGAAGTCACCTGTAAGGAAAAAGTTCCCAAAATACAGAAAATAATTCTTACCACAGCTGTGAAAGGCAATAGCTCCCTCTGCCGCCAACAAAACAAATAGCTAAGTTGTCCTTCAGAGATTTCACAATAGATGTTACTTTATTTTTCTTTTTAACTTGCTAGTCTTTAAAGTGCCACAAGACTGTTTTAAAAGAGGAAGCCATGTTTGTCTGCAAGCAGATCAGGCAAAACTGAAGGGGAGGGACACACACAAATAAATAAAAATTAAAAAGATGCCTTAAAGACTGTTGCATTTTAATTTGGGCTTTTGTGGCCAAGTCCACTTCTTCAGACATATGGTGTAAAATATAGGGTATTCATGCCAGCTTGGAGAGTCAGTGGTGTAGAGTTGTGTAGGGTCAATAGGGGGTGGAGGGCTTGTCCCTCACATGTTGTGCCTGCCTGGCCTACCTCACAGGGTTGTTAGCAGGAGAAAGTGGGAGAAGGAAAGTCAGAGAGGGTGCTTGGACTCACCAGAGGAAAGACAGGATATAAATGCAACAAATAAATGTATAATAGCGTCCTCTCTTTCTCCCACCTATCAATTCAGTTAGCTGCAAGGAAGCCACAAAATTAGCTTGACAATCCGCAGTTTATTGGCAGCCATTTTGCAAAAAATGTGGTCTGCCTCGGAGGTGGAGAGGGAGGCACCAAGTGATGCAATTCAAAAACTTATGAGAAAAAGGGTGTCTTTTAAAGTGTGTTTTTCTTCATTTACTATACAAAGCCAATAAATAAAGTCAGTTACACTAGCATTTTCAATGCTTGCATCCACAGAGCAATCATGGAGGTTTAGGAACAGGAGGAGCAAAGAAAAGAAACTGACTTTTAATTAAAAAGCTAATTAACTTTTTCATTGAGTAAAGAACCAGCTAACTAGCTCTTTAATCGGAGTGAAGCGCCTCAATCACCCGAGTAGGTCTTCCCACCCGACTCCCCGTTGCCATGGTTACGCAGCCTAGGCCGCAAGCCTCAAAGGGAAGAACGAGGAGGTCATGGCGCTTGTGTTTCCGGTTCCGGTTCGGTGTCTGTGCGTCTTTGAGAGGAGCGAGGAGTACTTCTGGAGGACACCCCCCCCGGTAAGTAGTCATTGATGGGGTGCCGGAGCGTTTTTCTTGTAGTCCCCATCTCTCAGGGCAGAAGTAGGCCGCGCGCATCCCCGGCTTCGATTAGGACCTGCTGCCCGGAAGGATGGGCTGGCTTTCGTTTGTGTCGCAGACCAACTGGGATGATGTTTTTTGAAGGGAAAATGTGCGCTTCTTTTGCGGGAGAGGGTTGAGATTTGATGCATGACACCCTCTAATTTTGTTATTAAAGATAAGCGCCAATTTCTTTATGTTTTTCCTAGTAATAAGGAAAGAAAAGAAAATACGCTATTTTTAAAAATAGATTTAATTTAATGGTGTCGTTAGCCTGCCTTTCTCCCAGTACTGGCATGCAAGGCAGCTGACGGCATGTTTAAAAAGCAAATATAGGTTTTAAAACGCCATATTACTGTATGTTCAAGCAGAATTAAACAGTTTATCTTATTAAAACAGCAAAAATAAAATAAAAGTACAACCCCCCCACAACAGCAGCAGCAACAACATTAAAAAAAAGCAACAACAACCCTAGAGCGAAGCGTAGACTGAAAGTCTTCCATCTAACCCATGTGTACTTTTGTCACAATTATGGAATGTGTTTTTAACCCTGTGTGATTTGCACAACCTAAATGCAGGCACGAAAGCAATCACATTCAGACTTATGTTCGTTTCTACAAGGAGACGCAGATAAAAGCAGTATTTAGTGGCCTGGAGGGTTGCTCATGGGATCCGTGATGCTTTGGAACGTTTTGAGTGCTCTCCATTTTTAAATCTAGTTTGGAAAAAAAGGGGCCCAAGACTGTTTTTCCACAGGCTTTTTGTATAACATCCCAGAATAATTCATGTAATATAGGAAACTGATGCCCAAAGATCACGGTTTGCATACAGCTACCAATTTTAGCCCACATTAGAGAGAAGAGGTGAACCCAGAATGTCTTGCTTACCTAAGCACCACACTAATACTCAAAGACTGATACATGTGGATGTGGGACTCTTTATTTAAAATCAGGTGTGCAAGTGGGAGTTTCTGCGTGGACCAGAAGCTAGCAACCACCACTTCCTTTATGTAGAAACTGCTGTATTTAAGATGTCCCGCCACCTGAGATTTATTGCTCGGACAGTCATGGTCCCCAACGGCAACGTGGATGCTGCCTACCGAGTTCTGCACAGGTAAAAAGGTTGCTTCCTTTCCTTCAACTCTGTATCCAAAATAGCACCAGTGGTTCTATGAAGGGAATGGGTGCCTTTGCTGGTAATGGCAGCCCCTTGGGGCAATGACAGTGCAGCAAAGACTGACATGACTAGTGCTTCTGTGTCACTTTAATGTTCAGAAAAGGGGAGCTCTGTCCTGGGAATCGTCAGACACCTCTTGTGCAGTGGATGTGTGTCTGCCATGTCTTCATACGGCTCAGCATATCTACAAAACATGGACCATTTTTATAGGGGTCGCCCAAAGCAACGTAGCTACTGGAGGCAGAGCAGCGAGTGTGCCAACCAAATTATTTTAAAACAAAGGGGCAGGAAATCTCGGAAGCACATCTTCCCATTCTGACAGTAAACATTAACCAATAACAGAGCTAGCCATTTGTCTGTTTTCAGGTACGGAAACAAGCCTAGGTCTGTTCCTCTTAACTAAAAAGAATCGCTATAGGAGCAGGCAAGACTTTGGGTTTAAAAAAACGATTTGGCACAGTTCAGATGTGGTCCTCTGGCCTTCAGTTCCCTGCAGAAGATTTTTCCCCCTTTTCCCTTGCAGTCTCCTGCAACGGAACGTTTATTCTCCAAGATTCAGGAAAGAATCCGAAATGCCTTCTGTTTCGGGGCAAACTGGTGGGCAAAATGGGCTCTGATGCGTTTTATTTGGCTGCGGTTTGCCTTGGCCCTCCTTAGCCAGCAGAGGTGAGAGGGTGGCAAGGTTTTGATTGCAATCCGGCAACTTATGAAGGGAGGGTTGCATTTTGTTCACCACTGCTCACGCGGGTATGAGACTGACTGTTGATGTCATTTGAGGATGAAAAGGTGGTCTTGCTTGCTTTCAGAGAGAGAGAGAGAGAGAGAGTCCGGGACTCTTATCTTCAGATGTATCTTCTTCTACCCCACACTTGCATGGTAATTTGTGGAGGGGGGGATGTGCACTGATTCATCTGAGTGGCTTCCTAACAGACCATTTTTCCCCTTTGTCCTTTTTGCTCATGTCCACATTCCAAAAGCAGAGCTGGGCTTGATAGGATGGTTACTTTTTGTACCCTGAAAGAACATCACATCTTGTTTTCAGCTAAAGCTGGGATGAGGGAAAAGGGTGGTCCTTGAGATGCTGTAACTCCCACCATTCCTGATTATTTTCTGTGCTGGATAGACCTAAAGGGAGTTGCAGTGCAACAACATCTGGTCCAAATGTTGCAGTCCAGGACATTTCCCGCTCATGTGACAAGCTTTCCTTAATTGTTGTTTTGTCTCTAAAGGGTTTGTGTGTTTGTAGACTGGTTTATACAGTGATTGCTCCATTTAGAGGTTTGTTTGAAGTGAATTTGGCAGTGATGGAATGGGGACGGGGGAACAGAGGTGCCTGCAGTCTGGGTGCTCCTCAGAAAAGAACTGCATCTGCCTGGAATTTGAACCTTGGAGCAAGGACCATCCCCTGGAAACATTATAAATGCTGAGGGCGGGGCTGGAGGTGTGAAAGCATGCCAAGGGATCCCAGGAAGCCCCATCCAAACTGCTGTGAAATGGGATATTTTTCTTGCCTTGCTGAAAAATGGAGCAAGGTGTGGGCCGGAGGGGAGAGAAACCAAAAAGACGATGAAGGGGTGAAAAGGCTCCTGTGAAATGATAGCTCTGGGCAGTTAAGCATCCCCTTTTTATTTTCTAGGGAGAAATGTTTTTGGCCCCCTTTCTTTGTGACTCCTACGGCAAGAAACAGGATAGGGGACCGTTCCCCCTGAGATAGTGAGGAGGTTTCGATCACAGCAGGGACTACGTGCGTAGCTGGATTCTGAGGAGGCTTCCGCTATTGCTCCCTTTACTCCCTTTTTTCCTTTGGCTCAGGATTTCAACCCATCAGTTTAAAAATAGCTTGAGCTGCAGCTGCATTCTGCACGCGTGTGTGTATGTGTGTTTCGCTGAGTCCTCGGCACGTTCTTCTCAATGGCTGGCTTCACCAATGAGCCAAACATGTGTCTCCCTCACAGCCCGGGCCCATGAGACCGTGGGCAAAGGGTGCGCATGAGGTTGCATAAGTCTCTCTGGCTTCAGGATTGGCTGGGCAGCTGGGTGGAGGGGGAGCTCAGAGCAGCTCTCATTGGGCATCGGCTGCTGGTGGGTGGGGCTTGGAGCCCATTCATGATTATTTTTCTTGCATGCGTTCCAGGCTGACAACAGTGAGCAGCCTGCACAGCCATGTGAATGCAAACATTTCAGTGAGGCAGATCTCTGGGGTTTGTGCTGAATTATGCTAAAGAAAAACTCCCCCCTTTTTAACCCAACAAAATTCTTCTGTGTTTCTTTTCCTGCTGTTAAGCGTTGGGTTAAATTTCTGTTTTGCTTTTCCACTAGTGAGCTCCTTGGTTATCTCCTTTCCTACTTTATTCTCACAACCCATGACGCTAATAAAAAAATGACGATTACATTCTCAGCTCTGTCAAAACAAGAACCTGACTCCCCCAAGTGTTTGGATCATTGTACCACACCATCTCCATCTTAGAAGGAAAGAAATCTATTTCTAACAATTAATACTTAGTCTCCCCCCCCTTTAAAGTGTGTGTGTGTGTGTGTGTGTGTGTGTTGAATACTTTTTAGCCAGGAGGAAGTTGTCTCAGTTTATTTTTCCTTGAGAATATGATTTCTACCTTTGCTCTCCTTCATTCCCTTCAGGATCCTAACCACGGATGGGATTATAGATGAAGCCAAGCGCCGCCGATATTATGAGAAGCCATGCCGGAAGAGATATCGAGAAGCTTATGAGACTTGCCGCAGGATTTACAATGACGAAATGAACCGGAAGATCAATTTTCTCATACGGAAGAAACGTCCAGACCCTTGGCTTGGTTGCTAAACTTGAAAGCCTGCGAGCAGAGCAGAAACTGGATGGGTTTCTCAACGTGGCTGACTGAATAACTGGGGGACATAAGGGGGGAGTTTTTCCATTTCTCTGGAATCTGCCATTAGTTCTCCTTTTATTGAGATTTAAGTATTTGTAAAGTCAAGTACACATTCTCGGGCCTTGGTTAACTGCAAGCTTAACTTCAGCAAAAATCTCTTTGACAAAGCTCATTTTTTGTTTTTTTGTTTTTTTTTAATGCTTCCTAAACAGGAGGACAGACAGCCTGTGGTGAGAGAATTAATAGATGAGATAAGAGGATGCTTTCATCTAGATTTTGACAGTCAAGTATTGTTTTTAAGGGGGAGCATTTCCCACCCGTCCCCCAAAATGAAGTACTCATCTATCATTACAAAAGTACCTATAGTCTGAAGTTGTTCAATCCAGGAAGGACCTTACTGTATACTTCTGCTCATTAATTTTATGTCCTGCTCTCACAAGTTGTGTTGTAATGTATTTGTAGGCCAATAAAAAGCTTTTACAACTTAAAACCACTTTAAGTGTTAATTTCTATTTCTGATAGAGTTGTTGTGCTGCCACACATGATCCTTCTCCTAGGCATGCTTTAAGAAGAGCAGAATTCCAACGTCATTGATCAGGGCTATTGTTCAGGATTTGACCCCTGCACTGTTCTGTTTTGTTTTCCTGTTTTACCACCCTTTTTTGCAGTTTCTAGCCAGGAGTAACGAGCTCAACTTGGTCACTCGCCTATTAAGGCTTCCTCTTTATTCATTGTTGTGTCATTACTAAGGATATAAATTTCAGGGTTATGTGATAGCTTTACGATATCGATAAGATGCCTGGAGTGTCGTGAGCTTTTGGGTACTTCAGAAAAGTAGATTGTTTGTTGCACTTACTGGTGACAAGGCAGAGCAATCTCTTTGTATGCGATTTTTTTAAAAGTCATAGGCTGGTCACTGTTGACAGCTCCCCAAAACAGCATGTGGGCCATTAGTTTTCTCCTAAGCTGCTGACCTTTGTGTGTCTGCCAGATAGAGGGGTGGCACTATTACACAAACAGCTGAAGTATAGTATTCTGCCACAATACTGAGGGTTGTTAAAACTGTACTGGCAAAATTACAGGTCTTGCCATAAAGTTTGGCATGCCAACCTCGAGCAGATCAGAGCCCACCCAAACAGATTTATTTAATGTGCTGTTTGATTATATGCCTCATTTTATACCAAGGTTTTCTTCAGCCCACTGTGTGAATATGGCTTGTGTTTCCCCTACTTTGTCTGCACAACAACCCTGTGAGGTAGGCCAGGCTTAGACCTAGAGATACTCGGTTGGCTGGCCAAGAACACGCAACTCTCTTCCAGGGCTCAGCAGAGGCCTAGAAATGTTCTTTAAAATGCTTTTTTTTTAAATTTCGTATATTCCAAAATTGGGAGAGAAGAGACTTTTCAAGGGCCCAATCAGAGGCACGGCGAGGCCGTCTCCATGGTTACGCCACTGTCGCTACGCCGGAGGGCGGGCGGGGATAAAATGGCGCCTCCCCCTGACAGGAAGTCCCGCCTCCCAAGCGGGAGAGACGGGCTCCCGAAAGCTGAGCCGCTTGGAAACTCTCTGGTCCGCGCCACTTCCGGCCTGCCTCCCTCCTGCCGCGTTTCCGCTTCCGCTCCGCGCGCCGACGACGTTCCGTGACCGTCCGGGAAGAGCCGCTGGTGGCGCGGCCTCTTCCTCGCCGGGCCGACCGATTCGGGCGGAGGGAAGGGCCGCCCGAGCGCCGGGTGAGGAGGAGCCCCGGCGGGTGGGGGTGGGGGCTTTGTGGGTCTGGAGGAGGGGGCGTGG